TTGGCACTGGCTTGCTATCAGGCCATGAGCCTGCTCTCCCCCCCCTTTCTGCATCTTCCAAACCACTCACCCTTTCTTCCACCACCCCTGGGATGGGATGGGTTGGAAAGCAGGTGAGAAATGCAAAATGGGAGTGGATGTGTGCACAGGAGTATCCTTTGGTGTGGCAAAGAGTGTCCTAAACCCAGTGGGGAGCATGGCACACGGGTTCCTCAGCCTATGGGAACAAAAATCAATAATCCCAGATTATCCCAGTTGAAAAAAAAAAAAGAAAAAGAGAAAGAGAGAAACGCTGCCTTTTCCATTCCTGCAGCTCAATTTGAAATCCCTTTTCCTTCCCGTGGAGCCTCAGAGGAGACCCTTCCAGGGCACTTCAGGAGGGGAGGTCCCCACGTTCTCCTGCCCTTCTCTCACATGCTCAGATGGTTGCCTGCTCCAAAAGCCGTTTACTCTGTAAATAAACTTGCTTCCCTCATCACCAGAAAACTCTCCCCAGGCAGCTAACACTGGGAGGAGTTGCACCAGACCTTTCCCCTCTGTGTTTGAACCTGGGCTTCAGGGGCAAAACCAAGCATGGCCCGAGGGCTTGGTGCAGGCAGTGAGTGGCGGTGCAGGCAGGGCTGTGCCCGTGCCAGCTCTGGCTCCCATGGGTGCTGGATGCAGCCGCGGGGCTTTGTGGCTGGGCAGCGGCTGGGAGCCAGGCAGAAGCGGGGCAGGTTCCAGCTTCTTTCTGTGGTTAAATGGAGATTTTTAGCTCGGTTCCTAGAGCTCACATTGCCCCCTGTACACTCGGACATGGATTTCTTTCCATGCCGTTTTTCTCATCCTGCATGTGTGATGCAGGGACCAGGGTCTGTATTGCCTTGGAATGTGCAGGATGTGCAGCTTCCCCAGAGGGACTGTCCCCGAGCGGCCACGGGGCGTGGGTGGGGACGGGTTACGGAGCAGCCACGCTGACCAGGTGTGAGGCTGCACACCAGAGTGTGCCCAAGTGTCTTGCCTCACTCCGTTATCGCTCATCCCCAGGGCAGCTGGATAACCCTGGATGTCACCCTTAGGGCACCAAAGGCAGGAATGGCTTTGGTTTCCCCTAAGAGCATCAGCAGCTGCTTTGCCATGGTCCAGGTGGCTGTGCTGTGCCCTGAGCTTCTGCTCGCTGGAGGAGACGAGGCTCTCCCAATGCAAATGCTGCCGTTTTGACACCTGCAACGGCACCGGACGCGAGAGGCAGGCCTTGGTTGGCAGTTGTTGGGTGCTTTTCAGTAACCAACAGTGCCAGCGCCAGGCTGTGCAAACCGATTTGCAAGATCCACAGCGAAGAGGTGCTCTCTGCAGTCTGCACTGCCGTGTAATTGCTCCTGGAGCCACTTTCCAAGCTTATTTGGAAGAGGGTCTGAGTAATGGGCTGGAGCGGAGGTGACAGCACGCAGGGAGACCAGCCATCTCCGCAGGTGGTTGCTGCTGCCTGTTCCTGCCTGCCCCTCTGGCGTAGCGGTGGGCTCACTCCCTTTCTCTTCTCTCCCCAGTATGAGGTGTCTGGCGAGGAGCACCTCTACTCCGACTTTCCCGAGATTGATTTGTCTCAGCTGGATGCCAGTGACTTCGATTCGGCCAGCTGCTTCAGCGAGCTGCAGTGGTGCGGGGAGCACTCGGAGACCGACTCCAGCCAGTACAGCACCGACGACTCCGAGCTCTTCCAGGTACCCCCATCCTCCTGGCACAGTAGTAGGATGGAAGTAGGCGGAAGGCAGGGGAGGGGGAGAAGGAGGGAGAAAGGAGGGGACACGCGCATCTATTAATAGCTCCTCCCCAGTTGATTAGTACTCCATTAATTTGCGCGCCAGCTCTAAATGGGGCAGGCGGAGTAAGGCTAATGAAGAGGTGGACGAGCAGAGGAGGGCTGCTGAGCCAAACCTCCTGGGATGTATTATTAAACGGGAATTACAGCTGGTGTGCAGCGCGTCCCGTTCGATTCCCAGGATGACAGGGTGTGCCAGGGTGGCAGTGTGGGGGTCTCAGGGCTGTGGTGTGGGGCAGGAATATTCATTTCCCAGCAGAAAGCAGCCCCTTCCCCTGGCTCTCCAGCTTTGGCATGCTCCCTGTGTTTGGGGCTGGGGTCCCTCTGGCAGGGAGTTGCTGGTTTCTCTCCTCGCCTTTGTGCTGGGATGGACCCATCACTGTGCCGGCACCTGGGACCGCACGGTGCAAAGCGGTGCCGGGGCTTAGGATGCTCCTGGGCACAGGCAGGGCTGGTCCTTGTCCCTCGGCACTGTTTTTGCCTCTCCTTGCAGAAGAGCTGAGCATCTTGCGAAGCTGTGTTGCGAGGGCAGGGTTGTAAGCACAGCACAGGCAGGTTAGAGGCAGGGAACTGCGGAGGCTGCCTGGGGACTGGGCACAGAGCAGGCTGGGCAGCCCGCTCACCTTTCCCAAATCCCATGCCATGCCCTGGATGTGCCCTGTCCTTGGCGGCTGGAGCCTCTGTGCCCTCCTGAGCAGCACCCTGGCCCTTACCCCATCACAAGGAGGTTGTGACCCACTGGTGCTTGCTAGTCACCAGCTCTGGGTTACATTTTGGAAGGGAGAAGGGTTTGTATTTAAACAAGGAGAAAAAAAATATAAAGCCCCAATATTTTCTAACCTGGCCATAATAACAACCCTCTAGCTTTTATGCTGTGCTGATGCTGTGCTTGAAAATGGTCCAGTCCAGCTGAGGGACCTGCATCACGAGATGCATATTTTCCGCTGAACTTCCTGGGGAAAAGATAAACAGAAAAGAAATGCAAAAGACAGGCCCATTAGGAGCAGTGGAGTACGATGAAATGTATCCCACTGAACTTGTATGCACAGCAGTCTCGTGCCAGTAACAGGAGGAAAAGAAACGGAGCCAAAAATGGAGCATCCTGCTGCCTTTCCCTGGAGCCTACTCTAGTAACTCCGAGCAAGGTTAGGGCATGGAACAAAAGATATTTAATTTTCAAACAAGATGAGAGAAACACGGGAGGCTGTGTGCAGTCAACAGTCCTCCTTGTGAGCCTGAATTTACCCCTGTGCTAATTTTATAGCTGATGGTAGCCTGCTTCTTGTTGGACATGGTTTACATTCAGAATACGATGGAGCAGAACCAAAAAGAAGGAACTCCTGGCTCACTTCAGCCATTCCTCTTCTGGACTTTTGCACTGTATTTCCAGTCTGGAAGGGGACTTGTGGGGCTGTGTGGTACTGGGATGGCTCGAGGTACATAAGCCATGGCGAAGCCCAGATGGAAAGAGGGGTCCGAGGGGGCAGGTCGGGGCAATGGGCAGGGAGGAGGCAGGAGCAGCCCGTGGCCCTGCCTGGCCCAGCACAGCCCAGACACTCACAAATCTCTCATCAGCATCCCCACATCATGCCGATCACCAAAAAAAAAAAAGATGAGGAGAGCTGTAATATAAGGCCTGTCTTGTTCTGGGGGCCGTGCTCTGTCGATAGGGTCCCTCGCAGAGCGCTGGGTGCAGCCGGCTGCAAGCATGAGGGCGGAGAGCCCCCGTCGAGCTGGAGGTGCCTGCGTTTGGGGGCTTTTAGTGAAAACGAAACCCATACTGCTTGTTGCGAGCTGTGGCATCTGGCCAGCCCTGCAGCCCGGGCCGAGCTTCCCCTGTGCCCTCCCAGGGGACCGTGCCCTCTTGTCCACTGGGCAGCCCCCGGCTGAGCTTACGGCTCTTCACGTTTTCTTTGCCTTCCCCATCAGGAGAGCTGCAAATAACCAGCCGTGCCCTCTCAGGTCCCCCCAGCCCTGCAGACTGTGGGGGGCTGTGCCTGCCCCCTCCCCAGGCTCCTGTCCTGGCTGGATGCTGCTCCCAGCCCCGCTCAGTAGCGCGGTGATAGCCAGCACTGGGGGGACTTGCAGCCAGAGTCAGGAGGATTTGGGCAAGCAGCCTTTTAATCACGGATCCTTTATCTGCTGCTGTTTGCCTCATGGTGGGGTGGAGGCAAGTATTGGGAGAGAAGAGGCTCTGATTCATTATTTTCCTGTTGGGGATGCAGGGGGACAGACTGGTGCTCCTTTTCCAGTTGGGTCTCTCTCCTCCCGATCCCATCCTAGTGCTGTGCTGGGGAAAAGCTCTCCCAGGTCCCCTGTGGTGTCACTGGGAAGTGTGGGTGCTGGTGTGGCACTGCCTGCCCCTCTTCCCCCCTGCCCAGCATCCCCCAGTCCCTCTGCCCAGTCTAACTCCCCCTCTCTTCTCTGCCTGCTCCTTTCAGATAATAGACAGTGAGAACGAAGCGCTGCTGGCAGCCCTCACCGAGACATTGGATGATATACAGGGAGATGACATGGGCCTGGCTGCCTTCCGAACTATGGAAGAAGGGGACACGCTCAACCATGCCTACACCTCGCCTGCCCCCTCCCCCAAACCCACCGCCCCGGTCATGGGGGGGCCGCCCCCGGCCCCCGAGTTTGATGAGCTGTCTCTAGTAAGAACCCACTTCCTACTGTTTAAGGTGGATTTGGATGAGCCCCTGATAAGCCGGCTGCATGGGTATGATAGGAAGCAAAGGTCTGAATTTTTTCATTCTAGGCTTAAAACTCTCTTTAACCGTCAATACCAAAGCATATACTTGTATTGTATACGTATACATGTTCTGCATCATTGCTGTCACCTCCATCACCATCCTCACGGGAACAAGCTGCGTGTATACAAATATATATATGAAGGGGTGGGGGCGGGTGTCAAAGGGGTGGGGGCTGCTTTGGCAAGACCCACACCTGCTTTTAATCTGACGTGCGGATGTGGGGCTGCCCGGGAGTC